ATGATGAATTTCGATCAACGGTAAGGACGCACAAGCCTAAACACCTTGACTCAAGCATTAGAGCTGATTCTATAGTAAGAACAAGTAGTAGATGCCATCAATTGCCATAATAAGCCAAAACACTCTACAACTTCTTCTAAAGAGAGTGTTTCCATCATTGAAAATTCTTCTAAAGTTCAGAATTTTCAAGAAAAAATGCTCTTAAGGATTCCAAATGATACATAATTGAGGAGGAACAATCTTTACTACAGATATGGAAAAAAATACTCTCTAGGGTATCAATGTAAATAAAAAGTAATCATGACAATGGAAACATGTGAGGAAGAAGAAAGAGAAAACAAAAATGATCAACATTTGAATGGCAAACAGAAGAATAATGCAAAAGATTTGTAGGGAGTTTCGGTAGAACAATAAAGAAATATATCTATACATACATATATATAATATAAATAATTATAACAAATACTGGTAATATTTTTAGACATTAAAAATTGAGTCTGAATCTCAACCTTGAAGACAAGGTTGATGTTTAAGTGGAGAGAATTATCAGATCTCAAAAAAAAAAAAATATTATATACATATATATGGTTGGAACTAGAGGTGCATGACTCTTTGGAACTGTTTCTTTAACAGAGCCAACTGTTTATCTTCTTCCTCCATGCGATATGATCGACAAGATGAAAAGGTTCCTACGAATGGCGGCTTTTAGTGCATGGCAATGATTGACTGTTGGAAATAATGATTCATATATTGTTTCATATCTATAAATAAAAAATTGTAAATCAAAATTATCATGTAATCTTTTGGAAATGAATTTGATTGAATTTAATCGGGTGGGTCACCCATGATTGACTTGATCCTGTTAGGATAACTCACTTATTTAAAATTCAAAATTAAAATTGTGATGAGTTAATTTAAGTAATTTGTAAAAAAAAATAGAATGAAAAAAAGATGCAGACAAAAAACTTACTCTCTCCTATTCTCTCTCTCAAAAAGTTCTGCTTCTGTGAAGAAGAAGAAGAAGAGATTTTTGGTTATTTTTCCTTCAAAAGTTTGAATTTTTACATGAGGTATTTATGCCGTAAAAATTTACACATAGTACATTATGATTTAATGTGATTGTATGTGATACTATACAACATGATATTGAGAAATTAGTTACAGAATTAATTTGTGAATTATATGTTAATTTCATGAGTTTTTAATATTGGCATCATATTATTAAAGCAAATATAAAGATTCAAAAAATTATATGGAAAGGACATCTTTTAAAAAATGAAGAAAAATATGATACTCTTAAGGTAAGTTTAATATCTCTAGTTATCGAGGCTCTCTTGAGCTTCGTTGGGATAAAGAACAAGCATATAAACCCATAGTTAACAAATTTATCGAGGAATATGTTAATTGGGGTGCTAGAAAGGCAACTGTATTTTCAATAGGGGTGTCTACACAAAATAGACATCATAAAGTTATTAATGTCTTTTTACTTAAAACAAACACAAATTTTTTAAAGAATGACCTTAAAAACAAGCTTAAGGAATCGTTTCCTAAACATAAACTTACAATAAGATAACTATTTTATACTATTATTGTTATTTTTGTTTTGTTTTGTGAACTGCTTATAAATTGTGTACTTTATTCTTGTTAATGAAATGTTACTCATGTTTTTCATATTTATTTATGTATATATATGATAACATGTTTTTTTCTTATATTTGGTATGCATGAATATTTATATGCTAACAATGTTACTCTCTTGCTCGCTTTACATTGCTGAGCAGTATGAAAAATGACATCATGAAGAGTTCACGAAGTACAACCTAGTTAAGGACATGTAGTCCACATTAGCTCAAAGTTTTGATGGTATGTCTTTGACCAAAATTTGGTCACTTACTATCAAGTTTGACACTTATAAGAAAACCCTGATCATACAATGAATAAACATCTGAGAGAAATATCAAACATGATAAGTGAGCTGAAAAATGGTAGTCATATTTTTACTAATGAACAACAAGCCCAAGTTGTGAGTCGTTCTTTACCCTAAAGTTAGAAACATATGAAGATCCACCTAGCCCATAATGAAGTCATTAGATCTCTTGAAGATGACATGAGACACTTGGAGCTAGAAGAAGATCAAATTGAGGCCAATAAATCAAGTAATGATGTGTCCATGATCGATTCGAGCTTGCAAGGTGCTGGGGGACATAAGCGCAAGTTCCATGGTGGATCCCAACAAAAGAGAAAAGTGGGTTTCAAAGCCAACAAAAAAGGAAAGTTTCACCAATAAGGGAAAAAAACGTCATTTCAAGAAAAAAAATATAGCAAAGGTAAAATGCTATAACTGTGGCAATAAGGGACATTTTCCTCGCGATTGCAGTGAGCCCAAAAAGGTAAAAGATCTGTTTGCACATGTGAATGCAATTTTTGTTTCTAGTTATGTCTTTTTAATTGAATCTCATCCTTTGTGGATTGTAAACTCATTAGCCACAGACCATATAACGAAGGACAGGAATGCCTTCGTGGAATTTCGACGCATTCTATATGGAAATAGTGGATATATGTAGGAAATAATTCAAAAATGGAGATAAAGGGTATTGGTACATACAAGTTGTTAATACGTGAAGGCCGAACCCTATTCCTACATGATGTGTTGCTTGCTGTCTGCATCATTCATACCGCATTGTACATTCCACTCGTGCTTGCACAGTTTGGGAATCTAGAGCTTGTTAGGAACTTTTTTTGGTGACCATTTTTCCTAACTTGTAGGGACTCGACTAAGGGGATCCCAACTCCAATGCTCAACTTGACCAAAAGAGTGAGTGTGGTAGCAGAGATGAGTGTGGTAGGACAACATGAATTTTAGTGCCGAGACATTAGTACAATTCCATATGCGCATGTGTTCCATCAGTCCTCGATACCATCATAACACCTTTTACTACTTTTTAGCTTCCTTGTTGTATCTAAGATCGCTACGCAGCAGTAAGATGAATTCGAGGATGAATCCTTTTGAAGAAGGGGGGATGATGTGACCCCAGGAGGGCGTTCTAATTACCCGGGAGGTAACCATTAGATTTCGTACCAATTCAAAAACAGGGCTCAAGAGAAGCCTGGACAAAGGAAACAGAGTCGAGATTCGATGACAAGTCCCAATCCCATGAAGCCCAAGGATCCAGTTCTTGCAAGTTTAGATTGGGTAAGATGGATCACCGATGCCATCAAGACCAAGAAGGCTTATGGGTCACCGAGACAATCGGTCCAACGAAACTTCAATGACGATGAGTTGTGGGCTTTTGGATTGATCCAATAAGATGATGGTGGCGTGTCCGAGATGTCACACAGAGGAGAGATACTCGCGGACGGGTGACCCGAGTCGCTCGACCCGCCACCCGGCCTGCTAGGCCCAACCCGTGACCTAGTAAGCCATGTGTCCGAGAAGAACGTGCAGCCGATGCCGCATGCCC